CAAGAAATTTTTCTGCCACACCTTAATGCAATTTATTTTCAACCCTTTTTAACAAATTACATTACCAAAAGTTTTTTCTTAATTGGTATTTCCCCATCTTTTATATAATAATGTAAGGCACTACCAGAAACATATCGTTCGGTTTCTTGGAAATGTAATAGGAGCTTTAACTATTTAACAAACTACTTTGGAACCCCTGTTATCGAATGTATTTCAAGGGACCTTTTAAAGGGCATCCAATCGGCCGGCAACCAGGAACGACCCACGTCCTCATCCACAAGACTCGAGTCGGAGTCAGAGTCAAAGGCAGTCATGTGGCAACTCTCATACTGGTATCCACACATGTGAAACGGTTTGTGGCGTTGCAATAACTTGTATTTTAAGTTTACTCACTGCTGGGATTCAAAATTTAATTTCATAGTGCGATGCGTTGTTATTATTTTGCATAATAACATTTCTGGCCCCAGTTCGGTTCACTCAACCAAGCATACTGATGTTTTGGGGCTGGAAATGGGTGTGTGGTTCGGGAGTGGATGTTCAAAATTGGAGCTTGGCCTATTGCCCGATTGGGCAATCGAATCAGGCCTATTAGACCCCGTTCGACGTATTAGCAGTACGTACCGGATAAAGGGAACCGAGCCCATGCGAACCGGGACTCCACACCAGACACTAAATTCCTCATCAGCATTCCGGTGAGTGTTTATCTGAGTGTGTGAGTGGATTTGCGTTTGGATTAATCAAAATATGACCGATGGCAATGCCAGTTGACCGCAAATCAGCAAACATTCGATCGACCTGTTAACCCAACAAGCAAAGTGGTACATCCTTCTTTTAAACTGCTCTAGGCCAAACCCCTGCGTGTGCGGAAAGTATAATTGCTTATGGCCATATGACCCTTACTTACTTTTTGACTAAATAGATTTTTATTCAAGGCTCTGCGCCCACTTACGCTCAAGTTTATTTCAACAGGGTGCCACGCCCACTGGAGTGACCACAAACTCCCATAACCCTAAAACCTAAAGCCTACATATTTGAAGACTCTGGAAAAAAAGAAAACGGAATTTTGTCGATTATTAATATCTATCTACATGTAAAAATTTTTCAAATCGAAGCATTCATTAAAAATATATAAGCAAATTAAGTGTGCAAGTGTGTTCCAATTACAGACGCTTTTTCTCGCACTCACCTTAGCTGAATAAATGGTATTTGATAGTTAGTCGAATATAGCGTTCTGTCTTGTTTTAAATTGTATTTTTAAAAGCACAAACTCCTTATTTCGCCTCTTTTTTTCGTTTTTTCTCATTCGGCTGAAGTCGAAATGCAGAAAATGTACTCATTCAGCTTATGGATTAAACTATTACCGTTTTGTTTTAAAATGAATCTACCCTTAACCACCCGTTCAACGGATGGTCTAAAGGATTTGCCATTCTGAATATTTCTTAGGTAGTTCGCTGCTTAATGTAACGTACATTTTTATACAATAATTTTGGCGCGACTACTAACTTTTTTTCTTCGCGTAAAAATTTGAGCATTCACTTCTAAAACGTAAACGTACCTATGTCTGGAAACTTTTTATACCCGTAACTCGTAGAGTAAAGGGGTATACTAGATTCGTGGGAAAGTATGTAACAGGTGGAAGGAAGCGTTTCCGACCCTATTAAGCTTAGACAGTCTTGATCAGGATCACTGGCCGAGTCGATCTAGATCTATTTCCGTCTGTCCGTCTGTCCGCATGAACGCTGAGATCTCGAAAACCATAAAAGCTAGAGTGTTGGGACTGGGCATGTAGATTCATGGGCTTCCTGCGCAGCGCAAGTTTGTTTCAGCAGGGTGCCACACCCACTCTAACGCCCACACACGACTATAACACTAAATCCCGTCTAGCGCCCACATTTTTTAATATTTCGTAAAAATTTAGGTAAGCGTTTGTTCTTATTATCATTACCTATCTACATGCCAAAATTATTAAAATCAGACCACTCAAATAAGCTGTTTTCACTAGTACGCCACAAAGCCTCTAGGGGCGCTATTGGCTAGTTGGCGCTGCAGGCCAAGTTGGCGCAATAGAAGAAGAAGATAAGCTGAGTAGCCGGTACCATATTCTCTTGTTTATAGTTTGAAACTCATTGATTTTTGATACTATTACACTATCAAAAAAAACACCTCTTAACAAGGTAAGGGGTCCTGACGATCGCACCTTCAACATACAAAAGTTTTGATATCAAATTTGGTGACGAAAAATACTGGCACATTCGACTAGGTAAATACTCTTTTTAAAATGTTTTTATTCTTTCCGCTTCGGCAAAACATTTATCTATATCCATGCCAAAAATGGTACCAAATCGGACCATCTATTAAAAATTTATAAGCATATAAAGAAATCTACACTAGGTGGCAATCGCCTCCCTTTAGGTGAGTAACGGGCCTCTGATAGTCGAGGCCAACAATAAATAACAAAATTTCATTTAAATTTTAACAAAATATTTAAAAATGTTGGCGGGTTTTAGTGTTATGGCGATAAAGTGGGCGTGGCACCCTGCTTAAACAAACTTGCACTGTCCAGGAAGCCCAAGAATCTGTATGCCAACTCCACATTCTAGCTCTTATAGTTTCTAGATCTCAGCGTTCATACGGACAGACAGACAGACGGACATGGATCTATCGACTCGGCTGGTGATCCTTATCTACGAGTAACGGATATAAAAACATATATTCTTTTTTTACTTAACGAGTTAAATAATAAATATTGAGTATATATATTTACTGAGTATATATTTTACCATTCGGCAAAATTGAATGCTCGGGCAACGTAAGTTTCTCTGAACTCATGAGACTTGAGAATTTTGTTGTTTAACGTGACTTTCAAGGACGATATGTCAAAAGTTGAGTTCTGTAAGGGCTTCCATAGGGCTTCTACCAAAAAATTATGAACTATTGTGCTTAAACTTTTTTAGTCAATAACTTTTAAAATACCCCTTTAACTGCATAAAGTATAGGTTTGCCTCTTTAGTCTTTTTTAAAATATTTACCCTCAACAAAAGTTTTATTTTAAAAGTCGCAGAACAAAGGGAGTTTTATTAAATCGGAAAATCTGATTGATCTATTTGAAAAGAACCCCAAAGTATTGTTTATTTAGCAACTTTAGAAAGAAGCATAGGATGGTGTCATTCAGCGCGCGTTTTTATTATAAATTACACATTGTGCCCCACTCGGCACACATTTTTACATTCACCGCCCTTTCTTCTTAACTGAGTGATTTCCTTAAAGTCTTGGAATGCACACCTCTATCAAATTTTACATTTTTTGTATATACATATATAGTATTTACCTTCACACACTCTCCTGTTGCGGTTCGTCACCACGTGTAGTTCCGTCCATGGTGGCACTCAATATTTCTAGTAAAGCTGCCACATAGAAAAACAAAAGATTGCGGTGTTCAAATTGTGGGGTTTCCCTACCCAATCCACCGAACTGGTCTTAGAGCGTTGAAATTGCCTTTTTATTGACAATTCACAGCACGCGCCGTGCAAGCAGATCATCAAAGGTTATTACGAGAACGAAAAAGGTCCTTTGTTTCTGTTGCAAATAGATTCATAAATAAAACTACAGACCGACAATCGCGAGACGCAAAAAAAATAACGAAAAGAAATCCTGCAAGTGAAAGTGCTAACACTTCGGCATATAATGTTACAAGATATATGTATGTGCATGTTCCCGCGGGATAAAGGCAACTTCCAGTCTGAATGTCAAAGTTTGAGTCTGGCAGTACTTTCAAATATTCATAAGAGTGTACACTAAGAAAAATTGACTTTTGTTTGAAACCTAAAAATTAGACAAAAACGAACTCATTTCCCAATTTTGTTCCTCCTTGTTATATTTTGTAAAGCAATGTATTTATTAATTTTATTATTTAAAAATATAAACCAAATTTATTTATTTTTTAAGACGGACTCCAAACTGTATGCCTCCACCTGGCATTTTAAAACTCACACACAGTCATAAAGCAATAAAGCGAAATCATGAGTAGAAATTTTTATAAGTTGGGTGTATCATCCAAGTGCCAAATGCTCAAGGATCTGTGCAATGTGCGAAGTGGTGGGTTCGTGGGGGCAAGTCAACTGCAAGGACTTTCCACTTTATCTGGCCAAATCCCAGCAAGAGCTTAAGGTTTCAGCTCAATTGTTTGGCCGACTTTATTTCATTGCCATTTTTATATATCCACTTTTTGGGTGAGTTAAAAAGCCTTTAAGTGAAATCCAAATGCATATTTATGGGAACTCAACGGACCTTAAATCTGGTAGTTGCTAAAAATAGGTAAAGGAGGTAAGTCAATGGGATATAACTAAATATAAAAATTTAGATATAAATGTTTTAGGAAATTGGTACTGCTTACATTTATTGTTTACATTTTATTTTAAATTACATTTTTCTATACTATTTTGTTTTAAATAACTTACAAATTAAGGATTTTTACGACAGTTAATGTTTTTTTATTCCCCTGCAGAGGCCGGATCAGACTACATCCTATAGCCCCCATAGGAATAATCGGAAAAATAATGAAACAAATTTTTTTAATTATAGCTTCGGCGTTTTTGGACATACACTGGTCGGCATAAGTATTTTGACATAACAAAAGTAAAATATACTCATATTTTGAACTTTCTTCTTGTAAACTTTGGCATCAATGGAAAGGTAATTTAATTAATTGAAAATTACATAACAATAAGAAAGTTAAGAAAATACCTTACATCTTAGCTTTTCGTTATAATGATCTTTAATAAAAATTATATTTCTGGCTTTCCCTATATTTTATGTAAATATTAATACCAATTCTATTATATCTATATCCGCTATTAACGGCTTACACAACTCCAGTTGGGACTGCGTCACTATTTGCATCAAAGTTTTTGTTTGTCCATTGAAAACACGGGACTGCAATAACACCTGTAATCGATCCGATTCAATTAAAATTCATTAGGTATATATAGGGCTTATGAGAGGTTAGTAAAGTCAGTTGAATTAGTTCGGTCAATCATCAACAAAATAAAAATGCGCATCTTCTTCCTCGTTGCACTGCTCGCCATGGTGGCGCTGGTTGCTGTCCAGGGACGTCGTCCTCCGGGAGGTCAGGGCCCTCCTCAGGGTTCGGGAGGTCAAGGACCACCGCAGGGACCTCCCCAAGGACCTCCCCAGGGACCGCCCCAGGGACCTCCCCAGGGACCTCCCCAAGGACCTCCCCAAGGACCACCTCAGGGACCTCCTCAGGGCGGCAACTCATCCTCCTCCCAGGAGTCGTCCCAGGAGTCGTCCCAGGAAAGCTCCAGCGAGTCTTCTAGCGAGTCGTCTGCCTAGGAAGCTCACAGCTCCTTAAAATAAAAACTTAAAACTCTTTGAATAAAGAAATATATTCAGTTTATTTAAAAACGATACAGTGTACCGATTTCATTAGCCAGAGAAGTTTCCATTTTCAGATCGGAGCCATGGTAACTTCTGGCAGTGAAATGGAAACGGGGATGGGTATGGAGGCGTATATCAAATCGGCTGCCTAAATAAGAAATCGTTTTATTTGAAAAGTTTATTCTTGGCATATCCCTTACAATTGCCGCCTCCACCTTTCGCTGATAGAAGGCTGTGACGTCTGTGTTGGCGACACCAGCAACATCAGGGGAAACAAAAACAACAGGGGCAACAGCGGTACAACAAAGCAAAAACAACTACAGTAAGGTCAACTGAGAGCGGTACGTGGGCATTGAATTCAAAATACCTACTCGACTTGGCAATTCTCATTTTCCAATTCCTATATCAAAGGAAGAAGGTACGTTAAAGTCAAGTGCCTCGACTATCAGATACCCCTTATTCTCTTGACTAATTTCAAAATAAAACTCTTGAGAGAGGAAATATGCAATCAATTGGTTTATTCACTAAAAACTTTTTAAGTAATAATGATACGATTGAATAATTCGACATGTGCAAAGGTATCGGCAAACAAAATCTATTTAAATTTCTCTTACGTTATAAGTGTTATAGATACATACGGAAACATGGACATGGTTAGATTAATCGCCGGGTCAGGATCAATAATGCATATATTTAATTTTCCTCCTATTTTATTACCCTTTCACTCTACGAGTAACTGGAAGAAAAACAATTTAGTTGAGCATATAAGTTAAAAAAGACTAAGTGCTTTGTGCTATTTATATTATATAAAAAAACACCGCTAAACACGGAAAAAAAAGAGTTAATCGGGCCTTTTTGAATTACTGTCGACTAAATCAACACAGAAGAGTAGAAATCTTTTAGAAAATTTACTTGCTGGAGCAATTATGTTGATACAGTGTGACTAAAATTTCCAAATAGCTTTTCAACAACATATAGCACTTTTGTATATAAAAAGTGTATAGCAACGTGCTTAATATGACAAACAAAATTGCAGGAGCCTAGAACAATAAGTTGACCGGACGAACTCACAGCCAAACAGTCGCACCTTTATGTCTTAACTTAAAAATGGTCCAAAACTCATGTTAATTTAATAATTTTTGGAATGCAATGTGGTACTGGCAGTACAGGGAGAAAATCAAACATTATTTATTGTTGCTCCACAGGTCTTCCCAGCTTCAGTTTTTTTTTTTACTTTCACAGTAATTTCTTTTTAGACCATCGACCTTTAAAATCTGAAAAGAATGACGATACCTGGCGATCTATAAAACAGTTTTTTTGATAGGACTGTCGTAGAAGATTTTGGATTTTGCGGCTATAGATAGAAGTCTCCTCGCGTACACTCATGATATAACTCATAAAACTCATGATATAACACTCATAATATAATATAAACCTCAATTTCACATAAAATTGACAGTGCACCGCCTTGAAATATTCCCTTTTAATGACAATATATAGGCCCTAATATATATTTTCCCTCGATTTTTAATGGGTATTCAGATGGTGCATATCCTGTCAAAAGGGAGCGCCAAAACAAGAGCAAAACGATGAATAGCAAAGGCAACAAAGTTAAACTGTAACAATAACCAAAGTCAAAGTTTGTCGGCAAAGTTTTCGCCTTTTTCGTCCTTGTTGCTCTCGCTGTTGTTGCATGCGTGCCGCTGTATTAGTGTGTGTGTGTCCACAGGATACAAATTCATTTCAATTGGATATATGTAGAGAAACGGGTTTGAGTGGCTTGGCTGAAGGAAGATGAAAAGTGGGAACGACGAGGAATCTGTGTAAAATGAGTTTGGTTTTTTCGCCGTATTTTATTTTGTTTTATTTTATTTTTTTGTTGCCGTTGCCGTTGCCGTTGCTGTTGTACTTTCCAAGATGAAACAAGTTTAACGTGGCCTGGGACCTTCCCCTGGGCCGGAAAGCCATCCTGCAGAAGGATTCTACATTTTGGATTCTGGGCCAGGACATGCCGCATCGCATACCTGCAGAATTATTTCGCTTCACTTTCCTTTGGCAGCGAAATGCCAAAGAAATGCAAATAAAACTTTTCTTTTGTTTTGCTTTCGGCTCTTTGCCCGTCGTGGTTTAGCAGCTTAACCCTTACAGAGCCCGCACGTCCAACTTCCGCCCACCCAAACACAACAACAACAACAGCTAAAACACCGACGAAAACAAAAACAAGGAAACTAAGTGTGGCAGTTTTAATTTCACTCAAAATGCAACGAAAATCGTTCAAAATGAAAGTGCTTGAAAATGGACGTGGCAAAGAAAATGGGTTTTATCGTTACATAGGCTAATAAAAAAGCAAAACTTTAACTAGTTAAAGTACAATTTTTTTGGAATAATTTAACATTTTACTGTTACCTACCAGTGGCGGATCCAGAATTTGGTTTGGGGATATAAATAAATGTTGTTGAGAAGACATCAAACAAGACAGAACGCTATAGTCGATGCTATCGATTATCAGATACCCATTACTCAGCTAAGGGAAGTGCGAAGGAGATGGAGATATGCAAGCAGCAAAGCAACTCTTCCCAAGAACACTTACCGTTAGGCCAGCTTGCCTTCTAATACGAAATAGGCATATAAAGTGCATATGGGAGGTTGTGTAAATAAAAATATTTGCAGAATGTTTCGTGGGCTCGAACTCCGCTCTGCGTTTTCCTAAGAAAATATTTGAAATTTAAATTGGCAACCCCTCCACCCGCTACGCTATTATTTTAAAAACAAGAGAGAACACTATAGTCGATGCCATCGATTATCAAATACCCGTTAGAGGAGTGCGATGGAGACGGAGATATGCAGCGAAGCGGCTGTTCACAACTGTACTCCCCGCAACGGCTCCACCTAGCGTCGATTTTTTTATTTGCTTTTAACTTTTTATGGATAGTCCGATTTCGGCAATTTGGCATAAAGATATATAATTTTATTCAAAGAAAATTGCTTTTTCAATTTTTCAAAATCTAGACAGGTTTTAGCGTGAGCGGTTGGGCGTTAGAGTGGGAATAGTACCCTGCTGAAATAAACTTGCGCTGTCCCAGAACCTCAAGAATCTGCATGTCAAATCCTTACTTTCTAGCTTTTATAGTTTCCGAGATCTCAGCGTTCATACGGACGGACAAACAGACGGACATGGCTAGATGGACTCGCCTAGTGCTTTATTTATAGGGTCGGAAACGCTTTCGTCTACCTTTTACATACTTTCCGACAAATCTAGCAGACACTTTTACTGTACGAGTAACGGGTAAAAAAAGTAAGAACAAAATGTTCCGAAATTACGAATTTTATTCTTAAATTAAGACTTGGTTTTTTTTCTCAGTGCGGTCGTTTTATAGAAATTTACTTGTTTGATTAGCGTTTTAAATAAATATTAGAAATTTTTGAATGGATAACTATCAACTATCAACTTTACTTCTTACCTTTACTCTCTGAATTTGAGTCAGATTCAGAACCAAATTGATAAATTCTTTCCATACTTTCGTCGGTGGCCTTTGTAATTGGTTCTTCCATTAAGTTCAAAACCTTAAAAAAACCAATTCTTGAAATATACATTCAATATTAGGTTAGACTTAAAAGTAACACAGATACGAAATGGACTTAGTTTTTCATTTCAAGAATGTTTTACTCTAAAACCATTTTTTGCGAAATAAAGAACAAAATCTTGTAAAACCAAGAATTTATTATGCTTAAATTAAGTGTGAGCTTTTCTTAAATTAAGCTTGACATTTACATACATTTTTAAAGTTTTTTTTGGGTTTTTGAATTAAATACAATTTCTATTTGGTTCAAGCGATATTTGTTCTCGATAAATAAATGTTATAGTATTGTGTTTAATGTTTGACTTAAGCACAAACTGAACTTGTTAAAATATTTCAATTTAATTTTACTGAAGAGTGTAAATCATTATATATTTAAGGATATAGAAACCTGATTCTTCGGAAATCAAGTGGTTTTAGTGATCAATTTAAGAAAGTTTGTGGCTTTCTTAATCTTTTTTTTTAATATTTTATACCTAGGTTTACGAGAAATCATAATTGTTTATTCCAGTTCAATAAATATCGGCCTTAAATTAATCACGTTCTCGGATATTTTAAATTCTAAGAATGGTTTATTCTTGATTCCAAAACGAGCAGCACATTCATTCTTAAAACAAGCACAAACAACAATTCGAAATCAAGCTTAAGTCGCTGTTTTTTTTCTGAGTGTACACCCCTTAAGCTTGGCCGTCATATTAATTATGCGTACATTTGGCCAGCCAGAACGAGAACATTTAAATATTATAAAATCAGTGCTCAACACAAGTAACAAAAAGGGAGTAAAATTTTAAAAATCATATCAAGTGTTTTTTTAATTCATTAAGAGAATATTAAAAAAGATGTTTCCATTCCAGTAAGGGCAACTATTTTTTAAAAGCCGGAGGTATTTTTGGCTGATTCCAACTTTCATAGAAAAACAAAGTCCTCAAACTTGTTATTCGATATGTCCAAATTCATCCTCGACCAATTGAGTGTGTGTTTGTTATAGCAAAGCCATAATCTTGTTGTTTTATAACTTTTAATGCCCCTTAATCCTCATGCTCATCCCGGTAAGCTCTTTCGGGGATTCTTTTACTTTTCCTTGGACCCTGGCTGCTGTTTACGTACCTTTTTGTGTGCGAGGGCAGAGGAAACTAGTTGGTTGGGAAATTGACCAAAACCAATTAAATAGTAAACAATTTGACGTGCACCCAGTCCGGTTTGGACTTAATTCCCAATTTGGCTCTGAAAGGAGACCCCAAACACAATGGAATACAAGCCCCGATTGCACCGCTGAATGGTTTATTGTTGTTGAATGTTCCATTATCAATGCATTCCCTAATCACCAGTGATTAATTTAGCTCATAGTGCCAATGCACTTATTACGTTAAATTTACTAAACTTACGAAAAGCGTTAGTTTGAGCCAAGGTAATTAAATGAGTTT